ACCCACAGATGTTAAAATAAAAAGAGAGGGAGTTGGTTGCATACTAAGACACACTAATCTTATCTGACTCAGACTTTGCACCTGTTAATACGAAGTAAATGTAGGTTAATGTTTTCTCCAACAGTATTCAACATTTTATAAATTTTAAACTATGACTGGATACATTCCCTAAAAACTGTGAAGTTGAAGATCTCCGAGGGAGTTTTTATTAACACTTAGTAAGTAATGCATGGTTTTGTACTCTATACATAGTACTTTACTCTTTATTTTTGCATGTTTCTCTATTTCCATCTGTCTGTTGGTCTGTCTCATATATCAAACAGAACACAATGTACAAAAGCTGGAATGAAACACATTTGTGAGAACAAGCATAGGTACCATGTCATACCAGTCACTGAGAAATGTATAAAAGATGGTTGTATGATGTTGGAAGGTTGAGATTTTAATTCTTTCTTTAGGTCATTCATTACTGTACATGGCTGCCTGCCTATCAGAAGAATTATAGGTGCAAACAAAAATAAAAACATATTATCAGATTTCATAATGACAAAAAGCTCTTTGTAATCTCCAAAATCCCTTTTGACTCCCTAACCAGTGATAAAAAAGTGTTTTTCTTACTTTCTCTTTTCTCTTTGAGTTGATATATCATACATGTGCTTGTGGTTTGTGTATTTTGCTGACAAAATACAGAAATGGAAGCAATCAATCATGGCTTGCTATGCAGGATCATCCTTGTTTCATGCTCTTACATGGTATATAAGATCCTTGGAGATCCTGTAACATCTTTCCAGTAATGTTCTGGTGTGTTTTTTTTATTTTATTTTTTAAAAAAACTCCAAAAGCTCAGTTAAAATGGTCATTTTAAACATATGAGAGATAATTTTACAGAGACTGGTGTGTAGCAGTTTAAAAGAATAGCACTCAGTTTTCTGAGGATTGTAAATGACGTATAGAAGGATATGAACATTATTGTAATTAGATTTTTTTGCAATAAAACTCTGTTACATTCCAAGTGCAAATCAAGATGCTGGTCATTACTTTTAAACCCTAACAAATTATTTGCAGGACTTTCCATCCTGCGAGTATTTATCCATTTCAGTAGGTCCGAGAGAGTAGATGTACACCAGGTCTCCTCTAACGAACAATGTTATCTGGTAGGCCTTAGAAGGCATATCTTCTCTGTGGTGATGCCTACCATATGAAATAGTTTTCTACCAGAAATCCAGAGGATCTATGGCCTTTTACAAGGCTGGAGAGTCCTGGCTCTTTCCCAAAGCACTGGGTCAGGATGTGAAGTGGATGTGAGGTTTTTGTATACTGGGAGTATAGTTGCCTTGATTCAGTTGCCTTGACGGTTATTCATTAGTCATTAGTCAACTGGTATTTCCTGCAGATATTCCAATGCACCATTGTTGCTACTTTGTCATGTCGTTATTTGTATCAGTCTTGCAATGTTCTTGCAGCAGCTAACTAGTGGTCTGCTGTTTCTTCAGTTTCTTTGCGGAGGCAGCAGTCTGTTGCTGCCTTTTCAATTTTGGCTTTGTATCCATTTGTTATTAAGGCTTAGCCTATCGTTATTATAGATCATATATATATACATCACATATCATATATAGGATTATAAAGATCAAGATATAAAAAGATTTATGGCCTTCAGAACTGTGACGTTTTCTAGCTTTCCAAGCTATCGTAACTTTGAATGGTCATTAAATGAACAATCAAGCAAATCACAAACAAATCATGTCCAATTAACCTTATCCCTTAAATAGAATCAGTTACTTAGTGGATCAAGAAAATTCATAGATATAGAACACCAGGACTTCAGCAAAACCTTCATAAAATGTCTCCTGGTATTCTCAGTAAAATGGAAAAATGTAAGATGATAAATGATATAACAATCATATGTAGTCACAGTTGGCTAAAAAGCAACATCAAGAGTGGTCATTAATATTTTCTCTTCCGTTTGGAGGGAAACTTTGAGTCATATGCCAATGGTTTTTTCCCCCCCGATCCCGATGTTGTTCAGCCTTTTGTCTTACAATTTGTATGAAAGTTGAGAGAACACTTACAGTATACAATTGGCAGGTAAGGCAAAGCTTGGACTAGTGGCTAATTAGATTTAAAAAGTACAAGATTCAAAAATAGAGTCTCAAGCAAAGGGATGGATAAATGGATGGATGGATGGATGGACGGACTATATCAGGTATGGATGTGATATAATGCATCTGGCTAGGAAAAATACAAGGCACAAATATAGGATGGACAGACTTGATCTTTTCCAGTTTTTCAGTCTTACTGATAAATAAGGCATTCTTGGGCATGAATCATGAACTGAATTAGTTCAAATGTCACAGAAAAGTGACACAAATGAAAGCGAAGATACGTGTCTCAGGATAATGTTGCAGGATCCAATCTGGGTCAATCACCAGGACCAGAAGTGGTTTCGTCTTCTGAGCTTTCAGACTCGTGCATACTCTCTGCTAGAGAGAAGTTCCCCGAGGATGGGTTTCAGCATGAGTCCGAAAACTTGGAAGACAAAACCTCTTCTGGTCCCAGTGACCGACCCAGTTTGGATCCTGTGACAGAACAGTGACAGTTTGTAAGAAATTGTAACGATAATTAATTATCATTTGTTTAAACCATAAGTGCAAATATACTGAAGCAATTCTATACCAGCATATTCTCTGTGTTCCATTTTGATGTAGGATAGTAACTAACTAGCCAGGTGCATTTCTGCTGGATGGTGAAAAAGAGTCGATTCCATGCCTTGCCTTATGTAACCCTAATTAACAACAGAAAATTCTTCCATACTTAAACAATAATAGGTTTCAGCACAATAAAACTGGATTGAAAATGTTCTTTTTACAAAATGAATAGTATTAGGCCAATGATGTGGTAAAGCAGATTGACTTTAGAAAAACATTTGACTTTAGTAAGCAATTAGATTGGAGGTTTAAGACTGCAAATTGAATATTTTAATTAGCCTCACAATCAGTTACAATCTTACCTAACAACAGCTGAGCAGAGGGAGATTTTCCAATAGTTATATGCATTTAATAAAATAAAGCCTTTATTGAAAATCACATTAAAGTATATGGAGATGCAAATGTTATTGCTTAGTGTGCTGCTTTTTCATCTAATTCAACTATTTCAATATTGCTTAATACAAAAATGCTAAGAGTATCTGTTGCCTTAACTCTATAAGAAACATTATAGCACTTTGAATAAAAGTTGGTTATAAGAGTCTTTATTTTGTAAACTATACATGAACATAAAAAGAAAAACAGTATTTTAATGTTACATAAGATAATCATTAAATTTAATATTAAATCTATTTAATCAAATGCAAAGAAACTTTATTTCAATTAATTGCAGATTAAAAATTAGGAAAAGCGATAATGCAGAGTTGAAATTAAACAACTGCTTGCATAATTACACAGAGCTTTTCAATTTCATTATGGCATGAAGCCACAATTTGATATGAATGCAGGTAGTGGAATCTCAAAACGTTTACACAATTAACATGCTAACATAAATAAAGTGATTAAAATAATTTTGTCTATAGTCAATTTGTGAATGCAACTCTACTTAAGAATTATATGCATTCTATATGGTAATTATGTAAAAATTGGGGCAGAGGAAAAAAATATTCTCCATAACAGCAGCAGCACTTACAGTGATATAAAATTTGGAATTCGGAAGTGCTTGGCTACTGCCTCATAATTTTATTTCAGTATGCATGCTATAAATCTTTCTATTACTATTTTGCAAGGCACCTTACAATAGCTCCTCTAAGGTTTTGAACTAGTAGCAAAAAGGGATAAAATAGAAATGTTTAGGACCATTTAAAAATGAAAAAAAAAACATTGTTCAAAAAACAATTATCCACACATGTGGTCATCATTATCAGTTACAGTATCACAGAAACACAAACTTTATGGAAGGTTTTACTCACAAATCATCTGAAACTGATTTTATGATAGGGAAGTTTCAGAAATAAATATAAAATTGCCAAGCTAATTTCATACTTAACAAGCTTTATATGATTTTGACATGGACAAGAGAAAAGAACAAAATAAAATTCCTCAGTCTGTTTGTTGGGATCAACTGAATTTATAGCTCAGAAAGGCTAAACAGATTAATTTTTGAAAGGGGGTTATTTTTTGGTTAATTGTTGAACGGGGGAATACTATGGCAGTATTAGATTCGAAAATCTAAAAAGTTCCTGGAAGTCTGTGGTAGACCATTTCCATTTTGTTTCCCCCAAACAACATGGGCCTGTCCATATAGTCACTAGGAGTCAAGCTTTAGAGCAGGAGTTGGCAACCATAGCCCTTTTATGACTTGTGGATTTCAACTCCCAGAATTCCTGAGCCAGCCATGCTGGGAGTTGAAGTCCACAAGTCATAAAGGGGCCATAGTTCCCCACCTCTGCTTTAGAGAATGAATGTGTATCATTTCAAGATCCTAGTAATTTGGAAGTTGAAAACGTAACAGTTCAAAACACAAAAAGAGTACCTGGCACTTTGTGTCCTCTTATAGTTTCTCTGCTGCTCTAATATATAGTAAGCTGATGACGTTATATAGTCTTGACTAAAATTTCCTTCTCTTGCTCATGCACATTCTGAAAAATGTCCCTGTGATCTACATCATGATTAAGCTGCTTTATAATGGAGCACGGGTCTGCTGGAAGTGTGCTTTTACGTATGGATTCTCAAACAGCAGTTGTCCTTAAAAGTTATCTAGGGCGGTTTGCTTGTTGTTTACTACCTCACAAATCTCAAGCATCTGTTGTTTTTTTTCCTTGAGGCTATACTCCAGTGCATTTTCTTCTGCTGAGTGGTATATAAAAACAACACATAATATAATGCTTTTCATTTAAACGAAGAATGTCCAGCTGCAGTGTTTCAAATAATCATACAAAATATACATGTAGATTTGATTCCATTTGACCTTTGAAGATAGAAGAATTTTCTGCGGTAGCATCTTGTAAATTTTAGAGACAAATTAGTCACAGCTAAGAAAATCAAATATATCCCTCATGGTCATCATCATCATCATCACCCTCATCTTCATCATCATCTTCTATTTCATCTTCATCATTCATGATATCATCATCCTCATCATCGGTCCATTCATGGAAATCACCACTGGCAAAATCCCCTGACGTCTCTAAATCTACACCATGAAGAGGAAATATATATCAATATCTAATACATATATAGTTATGTTTCTTTGTGTTAAGCGTTCCTACAGGACTGTTATTTTATTTATTTTCTTGGATTTAAACTCAACCTTAGAGAGCCAGTTTGGTCTAGTGGTTAGAGAACTAAGCTAGAAAGCAGGAAACATGAGTTCTAATCCTGCCTTAGGCATGAGAGTGTTTTGGAGACTTTAGGCTAGTCATTCTTTCTCAGCCCAACCCACCTCACAAGATTGTTGTTGTGGGGAAAATAGGAGAAAAAGGTGTGTTGGATATGTTCATTGCCTTGAGTTATGAGTTATTTGGGGGAAATAAATAAAAAAATAAATGAAAACTCAAGGCGGGTTACTTATTAAAAATCAAAAACAATTAAACCAAAAGCAAAAGAAAATGATCACGAATGTCCAGAAAAACACAACACAATGCATTTCAAAATAGAACAATAACAAAAATATTAAAATCAACAAGGAACTTAGCAAGCATCCTGTCTCCAGGCCTGAAAGCAAAACCAAGTTTTCAAACATTTATAGAACAACCTCAGGGTGAGATTTGGGGTTCCAGAAGGCAAAAACAACTGGAGTTAGGTGATTTTTCAGATAACCAGGCCCAGGACTATAAGAGATTTTCTAAGTGATAATCCTCAACTTAAATTGCACACAAGCTGGCTGGCAACCAGTGCAACTCACAAACTAGCAATGGCATACAGATGCATTCTGATATACAAATACCATCCTGTGTTGCCATATTTTTAACCATGTGTAGCTTCCAAATAATTTTCAAGGGCAATCCCATCTACAGCATGTTGAATTAATCTAGTCTTGAGACTAGGGCATGATTGACTTTCTGACCCATCTCTCAATCTATAAAAGGGCACAACTGGTGCACCAGATTAATCCATGCAAAGGTCTTCCTCCCAAAGCTGCCACTTGCTCTTCAAGATACAGATTAAGATAAATGAGAAAGTGTCAGTCCGATGTCTTCTTTGAATGTGACACGTACCGTATATTACCTGAGGCACATGTTCAATTCTCAGCCCCCAAATCTTTTCCAAATTAATCTACAAATCAGCCTTTCTCAATGTAACATAAAGTGGTAGAGCTAGAAGTTGTGACTTAATATACTGTATGTGGAAGACCCTGAAAAAATTAATTTAGATTAAAAATCTTCAAGATTAGCTATTGTAATGCTAGAATTAGCACACAGTTTTAATGGGGAAAAGGGAGATTTTGGAGACTTACCACAATCTGCAGCACCATGTGTTCGGGATCCTGTTACCTCATTGCCATATCTGTCAACACACCAGCACTGGCCTGCAGTTCCATGACACTGAGTTGGTTTATAGTAGCCATCTTCATCACATAAAGGAATATATTGCCCTGAACAAGACCCAAAAACACAAATATCTTGCAACATTTGTGGCTTTTATATTATGACTCCAGTGAAGCATTTTGTAAAGAAGCTTACAACATTTAATGGATATTTACTTCAGTATAAGCACTTTTTCTCCTGAATTTCTTTTAAATATCAAGTCAACATGTCATGAAAGAGATTGGTTGCTATGCAAAAGAAAAAAAGGAAAAAAGAAAAACCTGGCACAGTTTAGGGATAATGAAACAGACTACAACTCATTCCAGAATATGTAAAGTTGATTATTTAAGAGTAAGCAGACATCATGACAATTGGAAAGTTAATGCAAGACCAAAAACTGGAATAATCAAATTAAGGAGTGACTGAATGGTCCTATAGATTTCAGCTGTACTCTTTGTATGTGTGTATATATATGCTTTATAGGTACCAAATGTCACTTCATAGACAAAGTCACGCCCCACAGATAATGTAATACATACATTATATTAAATGTTTTAATTGGTTGATCTTTTCTTCTAAACACTTCCCTACTAATTTGACACATGAACTTTGAAAATTATTAATTATAGTAACATTTTTTCTGGAAAAAAATAATTAAAATGTATTTTTCTTATATCCTCTATTGATAAATATAGGGTCTCTCTCTCTGTGTACACAGTAATGAAGGAACTTATGTGTGTGCAGATCTGTGTGACTGTTGTTAAAGGTTCCATGATTTTTTTTTAATCTGTAAGCTACTATAACAAAAATATTGCCCTAGTATTGAATTTTATTTTTCTTATCATATTGCATGATTCACTGAATGAATGAAAAGCTAATAAATCCTGGGTTGTATAAACAGAGGCATAGAATCAAGATCACGCAAAGTATTAGTACCACTTTATAAAACCCTAATAAGACCACACCTGGAATACTGCAAACAATTTTGGTCACCATACTACAAAAAAGATATTGAGACCTTGGAAAAAGTTCAGAGAAGAGCAACTAAAATGATCAAAATGCAGACTAAAACATATGAAGAACAGTTGCAGGACTTGGGTTTGGCTAGTCTAAAGAAAAGAAGAAACAGGGGCGATATGATAGCAGTATTCCAGTATTTGAGGGGCTGCCACAAAGAAAAGGGCATCAAACTATTCTCCAAAGGACCAAACGGCAGACAAAAAACAATGGTTGGAAACTGATCAAAGAGAGAAGCAACCTGGAATTAAGGAGAAACTTCCTAACAATTAACCAGAGGAATGGCTTACCTTCAGAAATCATGGGCGCTCCATCACTGGAGATTTTTAAGAAGAGGCTAGAGTAGTCACTTGTCTGAGGTGGTATAGGTTCTCCTCCAAGGTTCCTTCCAGCTCTATTCTATTCTATTCTATTCTATTCTATTCTATTCTATTCTATTCTATTCTATTCTATTCTATTCTATTCTATTCTATTCTTAGTGTTTTAAAAGTAAAATGGTCATTCTAGCAATAGTTTAAAATAGCAGCACTATCTTCAAGAGGAGGCACGGTGGGTCAGTGGCTTAAAAGATTTGGGAGAAAGTCTGTGCTCCGGCAGATTGAGTCCTGCCACAAGTGACAGTGAGCTCCCATCACGTGCCTCAACTCCTACCAACCTAGCAGTCTAAAAACATGTAAATGCAAGTAGATAAATAGAGAGTACTTCGGTGGGAAGGTAACAGCATTCAGTATTTTGCCGTATGCTTTGCGCTAGGGCATGAGGTCATGCTTGCCACATGACTACGGAAATGTCTTTGGACAGCACTGGAGATGAGCACTGGAGATGAGCACTGCTACGACTCACGGATTAAGACGTGCAGAGCCATCTTCAAACTGATAATGAAAGAATTTTAATAGCTTTCAAAGTGTTTATACATTCTGTTACTATAATTTTGGGTCATTAATTTAGGATTCATGTTAATTTTGTATTGCAGTTTCACTAGAATTATTATGTAATCAATAAAAGCTTCAAAAAGTAACAATATAACTTACCTAGAAACTTCTTTCTCCCTTGCTGTTTGTGAATGTTGCTAAGCAATGACTGGCAAGGTGGATCTAGAATAACATTAGGCACATTAAAATTTAGCCAAGTATGACAACTGAAGAAACTTTTGCTCAATTTATAAGTTTCTTTCAAATATTTAAAAATATTTGATTTTCATTATAAACGTCTTATCCAGACGTTAGTCACCAAACTTGGTTTGCAAACCATTTTTCTAGACTGGACTAAGGATATATTCTGATTCTGATTATCCAGATTTGTACTGAAACGTCATAGAAAAACCTTTCCATACATATTGATACATTTGGAACCACTGGGCTGAAGAAGTTTCTTTTAAACAAAGTATGACAATTACAGATTTGCTCAGCTATTTACATATCACTTCTGGTAACTAAATATATATGTAATTATTATTAATAGTAGATATCATCCAGTAGGCCTAACTTCTTTGAATTTGTTTAGTTTTTACAAAGGTACATTCAGGAATGTCATTATATCATTATATTTTCCACTAATGAATTCTATTAAAATAATTAATGTATATAGAGTATATTTTAGATTCCAAAAGAACCCCATTCTGTTTACTCTTGTAAATTTTATTTCTATTGTTTCATGTATTTATATGTGTGTGATAACATGTGTACATACATTTACTTAACCAAACTATACTAAATTTGACAACCAGGAGAGTTTTAAAACATACCGATATTTAATCTGTCAAAAATAGATATTATATCATAACTGACATTTTAAAGTATTACAGAAGCAATATTGAAAAAGAGCAGAGCATATTTATTTACAGTAGCTGAAACTGCCGGTAACTATCTGCAGAAGCAAAACATTAGTCACATATCTGCATCCCAAGGAGAAAATACAAAAATACAAAAACTTCTGACTTCCATTGAGAGAATTACTCATTGAAACCAACGTTTGACTAGATCAGGGGTAGTCAACCTTGGCTCTTTTATGACTCGTGGACTTCAACTCCCAGAATTCCTGAGCCAGCTAAGCTGGCTCAGGAATTCTGGGAATTGAAGTCCACGAGTCATAAAAGAGCCAAGGTTGACTACCCCTGGACTAGATTATGCCTTTTTGTACACGATTTGCCATTGTATTTTTTGAGAATAAATCCCCAGGAATAGGATAGGGAAGTCTATCAAGCTGTCCAGTGCAAGACAGAATGGAATGGGACAACTCGCTGCTGCCTACTTGCTGTGGCCAACTCGCCATCGGACAAATTGCCGTGGCCAACTCACCAAGAGCTCACCAAGAGACACCTCGCCGTGGCCAACTTGCCACAGGACAACTCACTGTGGAACAATTCAACGATTCAATTTATTTAAAATACTTAAAGAATGATTTTAATTTTGTCATTCACATTGCATTTTATCCCTCCTTTTGCAACATTTATTTAATTGTTTTATTCCATGATTTCTTTGATATTAGTGTAATTCTTGTCCTGCAGTGAGTTGGCTGTGGCAAGTTGACTGAGACAAGTTGGGCCATGGCGAGTTGTCCTAGACCAGGGGTTGGCAACCTTGGCTCTTGGAATTCTGGGAGCTGAAGTCCACGAGTCATAAAAAAGCCAAGGTTGCCTACCTCTGTCCTAGACCAAGACAGAACCATTCCCTAATCCTTGATCTTCTGCTTAAAAATCACTACTGCACCATGCAGATGGTGATATTGGTGGGTTGAATCAGACACCAAACAAGTAACACTTGGGATATTTTCTTAACACTGTTGTAATGAATCTAGGATTGGGCAATGCATGTATATTGACTCTTTTGTTGTTGTTGTTGCACTGTATTTTCAATAACCAGATTAAACTGCCATAAGGCATCTTTTCCCCCCTTTTTTCTATAGCTTTCAAATGTTTGAATGTTATTTTAATTCCTCACCTTGCTGCCTTTGGAAACAGTAGCACCATTCATTGTTTGATATTAAACTGTCCTTGTAAGTGTCACAAGAATTGAAGAATGCCTTGGTGCACTGCTCATTCTTGTCAAGATATATACTTCCAAGTTCTGATTGGTCCAAAAGTAGGTCATAGTTTGTATCAAGTCTGTTAAACATCCAGCCAAGAGAGTCCTTGCAAATTGGTAAAATGCTGGTATCAAATCCTAAGAGACAAAGAGACCAAGCAATTAATTCACTAATACAGGCATAGCTGACACACATAGCAACAGAATCAATGGTGTCCTTTCTCATGGAAACTGTTTTATAGCAAAAAACTAGATCGGGTCTGTGCTAACAGCGTTTAGCAAGGCTACTAGATGATGCAAAATTTGAAAGGACTACTAAATAGCAGCAACACTAGTTCTTTGCTCTAATGTTTTGCTGTTATCCACCTGGAATTTTGCAAAGTAGTCTTATTGCTACTTAGTATTTTATCATTTGTTTCCCCAATTTATCATGTATCTAGTTCAAACACTCTAAGTTATCTAACAAGTAAATATTTTAGACATTATTTAAAAGAGATCTACTAATTGGCAACTTCAAAAATTAATAACATGAATTGCAATTAAAATTAATTCATTAAAAATCCAGCTAAAGGGCCTTATGGCATGATCTTCAACTACCAAAAGTTCTGCAGGTTTCTAGCATTCTATAAAACATTATTAATATATGAATCATCATGGCTTGGATGTCTGTGTAAGAAGTTCCAGAGGAATTGGGCCACCTTTAAGCAAAGCTGCTTCCAGATTATAGACCCTCTATAAAGTGATAACTGTAGGCACTGCATGGCTGAATTGGAGCAGATGGACAGATTCCCTCTGGAGAAGATGATCCTGTAGGTAACGCAGATCCTATACAGTAGGCTTTATGGGTTATTAACAGCAATAAATTGTTAACTGATTGAACTGAACTTGGAAAACACTTGACAACTAATGTAAGTAACATCTGCAACATATATATATAATATGTTATATTGCTAAAATATTTTGCAGCTGCCAAATATGAAGTCCTTGATGGTCTCTGAACTTGGTGGTTAGAGAGCATCAAGGACCCCACAGTACAACTTGAACTACAAATATTTTCTTCTATTGATGGAATACAGATCACTACATTCTGCACCAGTATAATATCTGGTTTATTTTCAAGGGCAGTTTCATGTGGAGCATGTTGTACTACTCCAATTGCATTAAGAACATGAATAATTAGATGTCTTGCCACTTTGTCACAGAAAACTGAAAGCAATCATGCAGCCCATCCTTCCCTCTAGATATGGCTCCTGTATTTCATCTCACATATTTCTTTAGTAAATTAAATCTGCCGAAGATTACCTCCAGTATTTCCATCATTTCCATATTTCAGAGTTTGCTGAGATTCATGGCAGAACTGCCTGCCATTCTGCTAAGGAAATATCCCAAGTGTCTTCTGGAAATCATACAGATCCATATGGCATTTACTATGGATCACATATTTATAGACTATTTTAAGAAATAGAAGGCTCTAGCAAAGTTATTATTGCATGTCTATATTCCTTCTTTGTTCTCCTCTGTATTGAACAGAAAAAGAACAGAACAGGAGCATACTTCACAGCAAGAGCTTCAACATCTGAACTCGCGTGTTCTTTGAAAATCGCCCATATCCCTATATGAACTTTAAAACAATGTTAACAAACAGGAAAAATACAATAAAAACGAAATATAATTTTAGTAAGAAATGCAGCAGAATTTCACAAAAGAACGTATACGAGTTTTATACTGTATTTCCTTCAATTTTTTTTTCTCATGTTCAGTTTATATTATATTTGCTCTGGATTATGTTAGAACAGAGATTTTCTTCAGGATGAAAAACATTATTGAACTAACCATTTGAAAAGGAAAGTAGGCCATTAGAAAGTTAAAAAAAAGGAAGGTCCTTCATATATTTCATTGAGATAAGCTAATGCAAGTTAAAATACACATATGTCTCTTTGGAAAAAAGCCTTGATGAGTCAGATTTAAACTATTCTTCTCTTTGTGTTGTTTTTGAAAGTGCTCATTGGGGGGGGCAGGAACAACAGTGGGCTGGTCATAAAATGGGCCTTTTACCAATTTTGTATATACAGCAGCCCATTAATTTCATTTTGTTCTGCTTCCTTCCTTTCACAGAAAATGCAACATTCCAGAGATTACTATGAATATCTTTACATTTTTTAAGCCTTGGTATTCCCACTACAGTATTAGCAATTATGACGCATTAAAAGAAAGCTAAAATATGCCCAAAGATATAGGTAGTCCTCGATTTATGATCACAATAGAGCCCAAAATTTATGTGGCTCATATGAACCAGTTGTCAAACATCTGAATGTAAATCACATGACCCTGGGGATGCTGCAGCAGTCATAAGTGTGAAAAAGGGTCATAAGTCACTTTTTTCAGTGCCGTTATAACTTTGAATGGTCACTAAATAAACTATTGTAAACCGAGGATTCTTTTTTTTAATCTATAAGGATAATAGTAAACCCCAAAGTTGCATGCATAATAAACAGGTGACTATTTCTTTGTCCTTGATCAATATCTTTTCCAGATAGTGATATAGGAATGATTAAGTTCTTATGGGATATTGAAAAAAGAAGCTGGCATTAAACACTGATAAGCAGAGAAAGCAGCAGAAGATATAGTAGCTAATGAACTGAAGCAAATTAAATCTATGAATAAAACAGGGCCCAAGGGAGGTATTTGCCGGAGGGATATGCCTGATGGTGAGTGCCTGGGGGCCCTGGGGACCTGTGTGACTGGGCCTGGCGTGCCTGGAGGCCTACACTGCCGGGGCTGGCCGACTTTGACTGCAACTCCCTCCCCCCCCCTTTTTTATGGGGGGTTAAAAGATTTATGAACTATGCTGCCTTCTTCCAATTCATCTAACCCCTCGACCACCACCACGAGGACTTTCCCCCTTCCCGACTCTGCTGTTGGACCTCCTGATACGATTCGGGACTGTACTCCAGGAGGGAACTGCTGGCCCTGCGCGACTCCCCCATCGCGCAGGCATGGCCCAACACGATTCCAAGGGCCGGCCTTGATGAAGGGGTTTGGAACCCCGAGAGGTGGCACTCAGCGTCAGCATTGAGGGATCTAAGAAAAAGGAAACTATATGCCTTCTTAGAGGGGTGTTTTTCTGAATTTTTAGGGGGTTCGGGGTTGGCCCGAGGGGAACCAGGGGAGTCCTCTCGGAGGCCAAGGCCGGTCCTGTCTGGGGGGTGCGGAGGGGTAAGGGAGGAGACTGGGGGGCTGGCGGAGGGTGGTGTGATAGGTACGGTCAGTGGGAGGGGCAGGTATGGCGGGAGCAGAGGACCATATCGGGTTTTGGGAGCACGCACACGCTGCTTACAAGCTTGTGGGTGCTCTGATCCTCAGAGCTCTGCTCGATCTCCAGGGACCTTAGATCCTCCGGCCCGGGTCCATCGGCTGATGTTGTGCAACGCCAGGTCTGTGGTAAATAAGGCCCCCCTCATTCAAGAACTTATTCACGAGGGGGGAGCGGACCTGGCGGGTATCACCGAGACCTGGTTGGGCATAGAAGGGGGAGTTCCCCTTGTTGATCTGTGCCCACCAGGTTTCCAGGCATTCCATCAGCCGAGGGCCCGGGGTAGGGGTGGGGGGGTGGCGGTCATTATAAGGGAGAGCATGTGTCCAAGGGAGACCACTGTGCCTCAGATAGACGGTGTTGAGTCCCTCCTTGTGAAATGGGGGCAAGGGGTGCAAGTGGGCCTGTTGATAATATACCTGGCCCCCTGCTATATGTCAACGGCCCTGCCTGAGCTAGCTGACGTGATAGCCGCGGTGGCGGTGGAGACCCCCAGACTTATAGTCATGGGGGATCTCAACCTGCCATCGGCAGGCGAAACGTCAGCGGTGGCTCGGGAGTTCCTGGCCTCCATGACGACCATGGACTTGACCCAATTAGTTCATGCACCCACTCACACAGGAGGACACACACTGGATCTAATTTTTGTCTCTGGCCAGTGGCAAAATGATCTGGAAATGGGGGAGATAGTCATAGAGCCCTTGTCATGGTCAGATCATGCACTCCTGAGGATGGACTTCCGGACCGCTCCCCCTCGCCGCAGGGAGACGGAACCGCCTAGATGGTTCCGTCCCAGGCTCCTGATGGACCCGGAGAGGTTTCTGACGGAGCTTGGGCCATATCCGGAGGCGTTAGGTCACGACTCGGCGGAAGATCAGGCTGCGGCCTGGGATGCGGCCGCAGCCGCAGCACTGGACCGAGTCGCGCCGCTGCGGCCTCTGACCCGTCGTAGATCCCAACTAGCCCCTTGGTTTACTGAGGAGCTGAGGGAGATGAAACGCCGGAAAAGACGCCTAGAGAGCAGTTGGAGGACGTCCCGAACCGAATCCGACCGAACACAGGTAAGGAGACATATTAGATCTTACCTTGTGGCGATGAGGGTGGCGAGGTCTAATTACTACTCCACCCTCATTGCGTCATCAGATAACCGCCCAGCCTCCCTCTTCAGGGTGACCCGCTCCCTTCTTCAATTGAGGGGGGGG